ATAAACAAACCAGAAGCGGTGCAGAGGTTATCTATATGAAATATTCATTATACCAGTGACTGATAAATTATTTGAACATTATGTCACTAATGAAGTAATATACAGGGTGTTTTAAAATTCAATTCCGCTCTTCGGACGACTTAGTTCAAGAAACTGATAGACGGACGCAGTGTTGTGAAATTCGGTACATAGACCTATTTGACCACGCGGAAGACAACTTACATAGATGTGTGATATGTTTTCATACCGTTATGTTTACAAGTTCATAACTACGTGTGTACATTGAATAATTAACGGAAGTACCCTGTTATGTAAAATTTAAAACTTGTTCATTGTTCGGATTTACAGAGTATAATGTCTACGGTTACACCAGGTTAACCTGGCACCAGCAGCTACAACAACTAATAGTAAGTAATACACAATACCAGGTAAAATATAAAATAATGTTTTGAACCACAGTTTTAGAATAACATGAAATTGATTTATAAACAGTTTTCGAGACTTTCACGTGTCCTCTTCTGTCTAAAGAAGAAACACATACACTGTTTATTTATAACGGAAATTCCAAGTGCCTTAACGACATATGACGTCAGAGAGGGGATTCAGCTTAATGACCTTCAATAGTATTTGAAGTTTGGCAACCTTTGGATATACGACCCTCCACAATGTTTCTTTTGACATAATTTCCAGTTTTATATATTCATTTGGCTGATTTCCAGTTGATTTTATAATCAAGTTTCCTCATGTATAGAAAAGTACCATTAACTCTTTGACTATGTGTACCAACTTTTTTTATTGTTCTACAGTCTTGTTAAGCTCAACTAATCAAATCCCAATGTATCTATCCGCAATTTTTTTCGTATTGTCTAGATCAGGAGCTCACGCCTTAGTCGTTATAGCTATTGTACCTAATAATGCTAGGTTATCCTGTTGAAACATTGTAACCATAAATATTATACTCTGTATATCCGACAATATACAAGTTTGTGTCTATTGGTTTCTTGAAAGCAGCTGTCTAATTAGTTAACAAAAATAACTTTTGAAAACACTCAGTTATACGGAGCACGTTCTCTGTGTAGTAAAGTGTCTCTTTAACCACCGGTTCGTGGATTAGCTCCGGTTCGAGGGATTTCACGAAAACAAACAAAAACTGACAGAATTTTCACACGGTTTTTCGGAGTACTTGCATTTTAATGGCCCGTACAGTTTATCGAGGCAGCGAGTCGGTACCTGACATTGAAAAGGTTGAGAAAAGCTGTTCTAGTATACTCGGGCTTAGCATCGTTTCAGTTCTAGTATACTCAGGCTTAGCATCGTTTCACTTTCAGAGCCTTGAGTAATGTCAGGAACGCATAGTTGTAAAGTGTTACCCCAGGAAGCTTAGACGATCACATATTTACCTCTTTAGTCAAAGACATTAACTGCATTTCCTGCATATACATGCCCATACATTACATTTATTCCAAACTATCATCTAGTGCTGGTATCCTAAGTTCTATTTTTTATTGTTAATTACGTCTGTGATATTTAACAGAAGGTTATAATGCTGAGAAATATTACACTACACTAGATATACGTAAATGGCTGATTTCACGTAACATATGCAAACTGAAACGAAAATATCTGAGAAGTTCGTATGGTCTGGAATTGGAAGTAATCCTGTTTTGACCATTTCATTCAATTTGGTAGAATTGTTGTTGCTTGATTATAAAAAATGTGAATGTAATG